GACGGAAACTTATTAATGAGAAAAATGATTTTTTTTGTAATATATATAATTTAGATCTCGATCGGACATTCATTATAAAACGGAACGTGCAATTATAGGATAACATTTTTTTTTCATTTCATCTCATTTCATTTCATTTTCTTTGAGATTTTTTGTATTTTGTTTTCATATTGTTTAAGTATCTTGAACATGTTGTGTTTTTATTTTGTAGATTGTTATGGTACAGAAGACATGCAGGATTCTGTCAAGCAGTTTCTTTTGTGTTAATAAGGACTTTATATTTTAGTTTGAACTTTGAGGCAGAGATGATATTCTGTATTTTAAAATTTGGTCACTACGCCATTCAGTACAAAACATTGTGTTTGTATTTCATTGTATTCAGTAAGAAAAGTAAACATAATTGCAATTATGTTCACATGGTTTTTCAAAGTATTACTGGAGAATTTTTAGCACATAAATATTTTATGTGTGTTTAAACAAAGTGAACTAATACACAATTCAAAATGTATAACATCTTATAAATACTACTACGTAACGTTACAATCTTTCTGTAGTTTCCATAAAAATAATTAATTTAATCTCAATTTTTTTAATATTATTTTTGCGCACAATTTGCTCATACGCAGACCACCTCGCATTATATTCCGTCAAATTGCACACAGGCTGTTTCGAAAATAAAGTGTTTATTATTATCTGATAATAATGATTTTTTTATTCTAAATTTCCTCAAAAAAAAAAAAGAAAGGAAAGTAAAAAAATAAATACTTTCAAATTGGTTCTTTCGAAAATTTGGAGAAAGAAAAGCGTTGATTTAAAAAAGAAATAATCTTGTTCCAGTTTGTTAATGATTTTTTTGTTGTTGATTAAAGTTTAACAAATTATATATGTCCCGAAAAAAAACATGCCCCACAAAAAAGATGAATGGTCGGTGCCTTAGTAAACTTCAACACAGAATCGAAAATTTTTTGAAAATTCTAAACAATTCTGAGCAAACATTCATTTCGTTACAACATAATGAGACAACGTTTACTATTTATATATCACACGAAGGGGAGGGGGAAGTGGCAAGAAGATTTTCGCGTATAGAATATTAATTTTCAACTGTTGCTACGCTGGCTTTTGTTTCATTAACTTTTCTACTTTAACACATACTATTTCAGAATAATAATTTTTATCCTGTCTTTGGAATAATTATTATGAATCAGCTCTTACCATTACAGAATATTTATTTTCACCCCACTGACCCTATCGCAATTAAATGTTCGACTCCTTATCTATGATTAATTCATTAAAACTAATGTTTCATGGTTGTGGGCGTACTATTAATATGATCTCGGAATTTTAATTTGAAACTCTGATATATAAACACCATATTAAATACTATATCATATTTTGAAAATTACTAACACTACATTTGTCTAGAACCATCTAAACGATACGAGACAGATTTTAGCGTACACATTAAGGGCAAACTAGCTGATATATATGATATCAAAATAGCATGATTTCATGTCAGCAGGTTAACTATAACTTTCACTAACTATTAATATTCTTTAATACGACATTATTTTTTTATTGTTTTGTATGTGCTTCCTCCCTATTTTCCTATCTATGATACCGTTATAGGATAGTTACGTGTATTTCAAATACATTTTTATGGTCCTATTAAATACATGTACCTTTTGCTAGTAAGCTAATCGAGATTAAGATACAAGTGCCCGTAGAGCAGGACAAGTACATCTCGTTTGAGCTTTTTGCTAGCCACAAAAATCTATGCAGCAGTAAGTTTTCCTTCAGTAATCTCATATATGATAATCATGATGGATTTCTAATCAGATTTATGCATGTTGCATCAATACGGAAGACAGTGAATAGTATAACAAGTTCCTTTGAGCTTAGGCATCGACTATTCATCTCTTTTGGGGGAGATGGGGGCATTGGTATTTTTTAAATAAATAATTTTGATTCTGAGTTTCTTTGTTTCAGAAGGGACGTAAAAAAAAAAAATTAAAAAAAAATATCACGTTGAGTTCCAGAAAAGTGTGCTTGTTCCTGTATGTTATGGAACAAGTTTGTTTTTTTTTTAATTTAAGGCGAAAACATTGTTTGTCCCGAGAAAACAACATATGCCCCACAAAAAAAAATGAATGGTCGGTGCCTATCCAGGTCATGACGCTCGGATTTGTTAACAGACCAAATTTCGTACAGATATACACACGTTCATATAGTCGCCTAATTCCACGTCATTTGGTCTCTCAGATTGGTGGATAGTTGTCTCACTGGCAATCATACCACATCTTCTTATTTTATATGTTTATGATATGATTATACAGTTTTCAAAGATTCATGAACATCGGATGAAGCATATACGGTTCTGGAGGAAATACACTGGTGGCACACCATAATCTGGGATCGTACAAAGTTTGGTTTAAATCTAACAACGAATCAACAGAATTAGTTCAGATTAACAGACAGACTGTTTTCTATGTACTCGAAACTGGTTTTACATGTTTGCTGGGAAAAACTTAGTGAGGATGTACATGTCCCGAGTAGGGCAAACTCGCCAGTGGTTGTTTTCTGTAACATCCAAGTATTTTGGTTATTCAGAAAATATTTAGAAATTTGGTGTTGTGGCAGAATGTCTCCAATTAACATTTTTAGACTATTGTCGATTTAGATTTTGAAGTATTTTATAGACGCAGGTGTATTGTTGAAGACAGCAACTAAATGTCTGTTGGTTACTAGTATCTTTGTTGTGGTTGCTGTCTCATTGAAATATACCAAATATTTTATTTAAATCAAAAGGGTTGACTTGGGTATTTAAATAGAGGCTTCCAAGAGCCTGTGTCGCTCACCTGTATCTACCGTGTTGTTTTGGAAATCATGTAAAATAAGGTTAAACTCAAAATAAATAGTATTAGATACCCTAATAATGCATGAGGCCAAGTTTGGTTTAAATCGGCCCAGTAGTTAAATTTAAATCAGGTCATCCCATCGTAGTCTTACAATAGTTACTGAAGACCCCTTATCATTATTTAAATAAGTTTTCAAGTTGTGACCATTTGAAATTGTTTTTTTACAATTTTCCCATAGACTTCTATAGTAAACCGCTATGTTCTATTTTTAGCCATGGCGGCCATGTTGGTTGGATGACAGGGTCATCGGATACATTTTTCAATCAAGATACCCTATTGAAAATTTTTGGCTTAGTTTAATACTATTTGGCCCAGTAGATTAAGTGGAGAAGATTTTTGTAAAAGATTACAAAAATTTACGAAAAACTGAAAAATTGACTTTAACGGGCAATAACTCCTGAAGGTGTCAATTAACAATTTTGATCATGTTTGACTTATTTGTAGAGCTTACTTTGCTGAACATTTTTTGTTGTTTACAGTTTATCTCTATCTATTATAATATTCAAGATAATAACTAAAAACTGCAAAATTTCCTTAAAATTACCGATTCCAGGGCAGCAACCCAACAACGGGTTGTCTGATGAGTCTGAAAATTTCAGGGCAGAAAGATCTTGACCTAATGAACATTTTTATCCCATATCAGATTTGCTCTAAATGCTTTAGTTTCAGAGATATAAGCCAAACTGTATTTTACCCCCCCCCCCCCCCACCCCCGCCCCCCATGTTCTATTTTTAGCCATGGCGGCCATTTTGGTTGATGGGCGCGGTCATCGGATACATTTTTAAAACTAAATACCCTAAGGATGATTAAGGCTAAGTTTGGTTTAATTTGGCCCAGTAATTCCAGAGGAGAAGATTTTTGTAAAAGATTACAAATATTTTACGAAAAAAATGTTAAAAATTGATTTAAAGGGCAATAACTCCTTATGGGGTCAATTGACAATTTTGGTCATGTTGACTTATTTGTAGATCTTACTTTGCTGAACAATTTTGCTGTTTTACAGTTTATCTCTATCTATTATAATATTCAAGATAATAACAAATAACTGCAAAATGTCCTTAAAATTACCAATTCAGGGGCAGCAACCAAACAACGGGTTGTCTGGTGCGTCTGAAAATTTAGAGCCAGATAGATCTGGACCTGATGAACATTTTTACCCCGTCAGATTTGCTCTAAATGCTTTAGTTTCAGAGATATAAGCAAAAAACTGCATTTTACCCCCAGTTCTATTTTTAGCCATGGTGGCCATCTTGGTTGATGGGCGGGGTAATCGGATACATTTTTAAAACTAAATACCCTAAGGATGATTTAGACCAAGTTTGGTTTTATTTGGCCCAGTAGTTTCAGAGGAGAAGATTTTTGTAAAAGTTAACGGAAGACAACGAGGGACGCCAAGTGATGAGAAAAGCTCACTTGGCCCTTTTGGGCTAGGTGAGCTAAAAATGGTCATCCCTGGACCTCCCTCCAGCAGTTAACATTTGTTATGCTAGTCTTTGGGGGTGTATAAATTTGCAGCAATATCCGGTTGGAGTTGAGACGTTAAATCTGATGCCTCAAGAGGGTGAGTGAAAAGAACAATTGCAACAACTCAGTGGTCCGTAAGCCTCTTGCAAGGCAAAAATCTCCTGCCCTTCATCCCAGTCGACCCTATAGGTTCCTTGCAGAACAAGGATAAAAAAATTGGTATACATTGTGGGTTCCATATAATGAAACTTAATCATTTAAACTCCTAGAAAAAAATGCTAAGTTCAAAGGTGCATAACTCCTACAAAAAATTCTATGTTCAATGGGCATTACAACAATGTACTCCTTAAAAAAATTGAATCCTAATTTCCTGTTGATATGCACATCCACATAGTTTGTCCTTATTATCTACAAAGTTTTTAATGAAATTCTGTTGTGTCGTTTTAGAGGAGTTGCGATGACAAGAACAGGATTGACAGATAGACTGACAGACTGACAGATAGACAGACTGATGGACGGGTCGAAAACATTATACCCTATGAAACTTTTTTGCGTAATAAGAATTTTATAGCTATGTATACTATATCAATTATAGAGACACAAAAAAACATAACACCAGATTGATTTCTAATATTTATTGAACAACAACATGTCTATAACTATCAGCACAAAATACAGACCTAAACATGTATAAACTACTGAATATGGCAGCAAAGTTTTCAACAAGCAAATAACAGCACAAATAACATAGACACATAACACATAATATAAGTGTAATAGTAGGTTGGTGCATTGTAATAAAATACAGAAAAATCTACCTGACACATAAACTTCTCTCTTAAAAATTCATGTGATTTATGACTAAAATAAATAAATTATAATTTGGTGTACAATGCTGATGTTTGAAAAGTTCATAAGAAATGCTCAGAACCTTAAATAATGACAACCAAAGATGTAAAACAAAAGGTCCACATTTTTATCAACATGAATACTGTTAACATCAAAAATTTACAGGAGTTATTGGCTCATTTTGGGATACTGTAACATACATACAAATATCCCCTACATCAATAGATTGTACACCTTAACAATGTTAATGTGAGGGGCTTAGTTATCAGTCAATGCACATTTTTTTTATCCATTGATATTGGGAAAATTAACAACCTAAAAAAATACCCACATTTATAGTAGCCAATACGTTTAAGGTCACTGATGGATCAAAATTAAATGTAATATAAAATTCGGGCTTAACCTATGACTACAAGCCATTGAACCCAGGTCAGTAACATTCTCCAGAAAAGAGGATTCACAACCCATATAAATTCAAAGACATTTTATGAAAGATTAATTTTGTGACTTGTAAGTTAAAAACTTTTTCCTGAAATCTGCAGACTTTGTAAAATCTTATATCAATTTATCACATGAATCCAATGTAAAACTATCAAATCTATATCACATTCTTTAATACTTATAAGTGATATTCTGTTGACTTAATTAAGTCCCTGGAAAAAATAGTGCCATCACTCAATTTTAAAATGTTACATTATTTTGTTATTTTTATGATATTACAACATTTGGCCCAACCTCTCAATTACAAATATAAAAGTGAAATAAACAAAGACAATTGTCCACATACCAGAGTATTTACATATTTTTACTTAAATGCTATCAAACTATTTTATAATATCTAAACAGATGACAAATTATAAACTGTCTTACTTTCTTGTAGAGCTAAAATACCACAAGGAAATAATCTTTCATTTAGGAGTAACCTTTTGCAATTAATATAATATAAGTAGGAAATTTTTGTCTGATACAAGATTTACCTAACATCGTGAAATATCCCTCATGTAAACTAGATCTTCAAGGAAGATAAAAATTTAAGACAAGAAAATGCTAAAACTAAACGAAACAAACAGGTTTAGTGCTTGAAATCAGGAAATATAAATCTACCACTTTAATTCTCATCATTTAAACATTTCCCTCTATTTATAAAACAAATAGCTTTAGTAATTAATCGCTAGTTTTGATATTTTGAGATTAGAGAATGTCATCTTGTCATGATCTATTTGTTAACAAAAAACAATTATTTGTGACTTTGTTATGAAGTAATTTTGCAATAAACTAATAAATAATAAATTTTGATGACATTCAAAATTCAACGCAATACAGAAAAAGAAAAAGAAAAAGAAAAGAACATCATATATAGTGTATAATAAAATATAACTAATTCACGCATTAAATGCATATCACAATTTAGAAAGTCAGAAATTTTTCAATAATCTTCAGTTCCATTTTCATTTTTTCCTTATATAAAGTATAATATAGCATTGTGTGCAAAGAGAGACAACTCCAATGAACAAAATCTCCATACAGGAAAAAAAATGCTGTTTGGATTTTCGAAATATAAACCCTGTATAATTAATGCTTCGGTGATTTACAGACTACAATTCATCTGTCTAATAATACAGGCAAAGACCATTCTGCACTAGGGAATCATTATGGAAATTTCTGCTGTACATTTGATATGATAAAATTAATTAACAAGTGACAAAAAATTATTTTACTGTAAAAAAATTGAACAAAATTCACTAACTGACCAAAAACAAGATGATATGAAGCATAAAACTGATATGGCATCACTGAGATTTCAATATAAGATAAAAGAAAAATATATCATGTTTCTTCAAATGTCTTGTTTAATCCCAAAATCTAATTTTCATATTACCAATAATAGCAAAAAGACAACAATTTTCATAAGGTAAATCCATTCTATGTCCGATTTAAAGCCATTTCCTGTAATTTACAAGATTAAAAAAGTTACCATGACATTCAATGACAATGGAAATTCATTCTGAAGGATGAAATTAAAATCATAACTTTATTCCATGTGTTGAAAAATTATAAAATGATTCGACTGACCCATTTTGAGATTCATAACAAGAAACATGACCTATTGTCCTTGACCTTAAATGAAGGGCATAATATCAATAAAGTCAACATTACATAAACAAAATAAGTACACAGTTAGCACCTTTAAACTGGTAAATTATAAATAAAATATTTTTTCCTGTAAAATTAAAATATCACTAAACAGTCAAAAGTTTGTTTATCAGAATATGACACTTGAGTATATATGGTATGACATTTACACAACATCATTTTTAATTAAAAAAAAAATGAATGACATTTTTATTTCTAATGCCAATACTAATTATAATAGAAGTTGAATAAAAAGTTAGATGATAATAGAAATTTAAGAATAATGATAATATCTGGATTCTAAATTTGATCACCAAATTCATTTTCAATGTGTACAGAAGGTATAAATATAATCACACATCTTCAAAAGTTAAAATTACTTGATATTCAGAAATAGAATTCTTTTTAAACACTTCAGATCACTTGTTTTGTGATCATGTATGCTGCATCAAATGAATCATGTGATTTGAGAATTTTTAAATTGCTGATAATGTTAAAGCCCAGAAAACTTGGTTCTCTTCACCATGAATTATATTTTTGTTTACAAAACAACTATTCAAATACGCTAACTTTTTTTTTCAAACAAATTTCATGTATAAATTGTGTCCACCTTGTTAAATTGAACAGCATATTTAATAGTATCTTTTCTCATTTATCTTAAATCCAATTTGTACAATTTAATAAGAAAGAATATTATGTTAAAAACAATGCTTGGAACAGAATACCCTTACGTGTTTCAAAATGAATTTTAAAAATGTCCCTGAAGTGTTGAATAAGCACGATTAACAATCTTTAACTCCCAGAGTACCCATGTATTTACCCTACGTGAAAGAGTGTTTACAAAATATAATCTCATAACTATACTAAAATCATCCATAAATGACACACTAGTATTATTCTGGACAAACAGATCACCTCAAGGTTAAAATGAACTATAATACAGAAAAAAACATTCAAAAGAAACAAACAATGCTGAGTTGGACTTAGCTACCAATTATGTTTTATTATACCTGCTAAAAAGAACACATATATATATATATACCTATTTACATAATCAAAAAAATTATGCTTTTTGATACTGTCAGATCTACAATATATAAAAAGACCATCTGAAAGCACATGACATTAATTACTAAGTTATCTCCCTTTTTCAAATAACAAAGGGAGATAATTTAATACTTTCTTTTCAATCTTTATGTACCCCGACTTATTCAGTGTTTATTCCTCTAACTGTGACCACTCAATTAATGCTTTAATCTTATTTCCTGCAATAAACAATTTCTTAAAGTAATATGTACTCTCAAACATAGTCCTTCTAATAATCTACAACACTGGTCAGTCAACCTTTATAAATTGGTCCATTATAACAGGTATACAGAAAATAAATAAAAATTATGAGGTTAGGTTTTTAAACAGAAAATACCTGATGCTAGCAATATTGCTAAATGGTTTTCATTTTAATCCATCTTTTGATAAATCAAACAGTCAAATACATAGAAAAAAAAAGTAATGGATATAATGTTCTACATTTATGTACACGTGTATGATATGACCTGTTAATATTTATAAACGAACCATGTATATGACTTTATGTATACTAAAATGAAATACATGTACAAGTGTATTAAAAAGTGTGGTAAAAACACGTTTTTAAATTCCTTGCTTTGCAAAGAGTTTTTTTCTTCTTTGCTCTAAGAAGAGCCAAACGTTTGTGATTGGTGTTGAATGAAAACTGTCTTATATTTTTAATAATTCCAGTTATCCATTTTGTGTATTATTCAAATCAAATAAAATACTCACTCATTACATGTACAAATCATTTTTAGAAAATATTGTACTCTAAAAACATATTTCGAAAGCTTTTCTGAAATACTTTCAAATTCTCAATATCATATTAAAACCAAAATATAGATTATTGGTATGAAAATATCTAAAATCAAAAATTCATATGATAATTTCAAAAAAATACATTTTGTTACAATTTCCAAAATATAACAGACTAGAAACACAAAATGCTGTTTATCAAAAATAAAAATGTACTTGACCTGTCAGAATACATAATGTAAATTTGTTAGAAGGTAATATTTAAATCAGTAAAAAAAAGTATTGATATAATTAAATAAATTGAAAATATTTGTCCATCCTGTATCAGGTTTAAGCTTATTATAAAGGTACTTTATAATGAAGTTGTGGTCATGTTAACTTGAAACTTAGTAGTTATGCTTATCAAGATGTGAATTTTTCAAAATATATGCAAAAGTAATAGGAGTTTGATCGAGATTTTGCAGTTCACTTGACATAAAAATTTGATAGCTATATAGTATAAGTGGAGCATACTGTGATATGCCTTATGGCCTCTATTCTTATTCTATTCTGCTATATTCAAGCAAAAATGCATTTTAACAGAAAACATACCCCAATTTGAAATCTACACTCGAAGCCATGCTACATGCTATATTATTATGGGCTTCCAGAAAAGTTCACTAATGAACACCTCAAACAAGTACAATATTTGGCTAAAATTTTCAGCAGAATTAATTAGACTTAAAACATGCATATTGCTACAAAAAATGGCACAAACTGTCACATGATTTTGTGGAAGCACAGCTGAACAACAATCTAAAGTATTAAAAATACATTCAATTCATCAATATAAAAATGTTTTAACAGAAAATAAGAGACATATGTAAATCTCTAGTAAAGCAATGCAACTAGTACAAAATGTACTGAATAAATCAAAACAAAAGTAAAGAATAAAGAAGTCAAGATTGATTTTATCCGTTCCAACTGTAGGCCATAAACTTCTGCTCTTCAATTTTTCAATGTATTTAAGGATGTACTTCGGTGAAATTAAAAAAATCTAGAATTTAAAATTGATACTATAAGTCAGAAGAGCATTAGTTAAGGAACAAAATTAGCTAAAAATATTGATAGGTTATGGAGCTCCTCCTCGAGATATTTAATTTTTAAAAAATGGCGAGAAAAGGCTGACTCAGACTTTTACCTTATATTTGCATTGGTATTAGTTGGGTCTCAAATCGGAAGAAAAGAAATCTAGAATCTGCTTAAATTTTGGTAAATGACCTTTTATGAGCTATTAAAGTCTTATATGAAAAGAAAAATGGGTGTTATTGGGCATAATATTTTACCCTGTATTGTCGGAAAAGTCCGAACATCTGACAGAAATTCCTAAACCTAACCTAAGTACATCCTTAATTCAAAAGTTTACTCATTTACAAAAAAAAAAAAAAAATTTGCAAGTTTTAAGATGAAAGAAAAGTAATGTCAACAGAGAAACAGGATACCATCTAGAGGTATGGATAATTTGATGCCTACTCATATTAAGGACAAGCGGAAAAGACAAAAAATTCATAAGCTATAGTGCACATAACCAAAGAAGTGACGGTAAGGTAAGATTCCTATGAACAATTGAAGTTCCTGTCTTAGTGTAGAAATCATCGTAACAATTAAAGAAAAAGTCTTATTCAAAATATTCACAATCAATATAAATTGTTTTTTAAGTACATAATTGATATGAGAACACAAAATCAGATCTAAATGGCATAAAAAGTGTATAGTACAATGTATATGTAACAACAATTCAAAACAACATTTACAATGGCACGGCATAAAACATGGCAACAGCAAATCCCTATATCTAGCAAAAGCACAAAAGTCAAACAACAATTGTTATATGGAAGAGTATTAATAATGAATATCTATATACAATTAATTATATACACAAAATATTTTACCATCAATTATAGTTATTGAAATATCATTATCGTGAATTTCAAAAATCAATATAGTTTTAATCATATAAAATGTATGCAAAAAATGTAATCATTAAGGATGCTCATCACGTACATTTACATTCCTAACTTTTCTGAAATATTTTGAACTCCTCTGCATTTTTCCTACAAAATACACCAGCACCATTTTGTTAGTGCTACCTTTCTCAAAATTTAAAAAAATAATCAAATAAATTCCAATTCTGACAAATTATTTTTAAATTATTGTTACCTCATTTTTTTTTCTGCTATATTTTCTGAAATGACAAAACATCTTTTTTGTATAGAAACACATTCCAGCTGTTTTTTTTTTTTAAATGCTTCTACCTCAAACTTGTCAAACCTTATCTTAATTGTTTCCATAATTTTCATGAACACATGTACTCTCTTAAATCTTATTACTCTTTGACATTCTGTGAAACTTGACACAAGATTTTCCCAAACCTGACATTGACTTCATACCATACTTTTTGCTTTGTGGCATCAGATATTTTCTTTTTTTCAAATGACAATATTGCCGAACTTATATGATCTTCTGTAATGGTGGACAAATAATGATGAGGTATTGATTTGGGAGTTGTTTTTTATTTAAATCTTTCAGCAGAGAGCATCCTTAACATGTAATATTTACATACAAAGTTTGTACTGTGTGTAATTTAATATCCTACTTTTTATATATATTTACATACACATACATGTACCTGGTTTAAATGTTCAGAGATTACAGTATTTCGTTATACTATTACAAAATTCACCACATGTAAACATGGTAAATATAGTTGACTAGCCTTATATAGCACTGAAAATTTATTTCCCTTGTACATTTGTACTTGAAAAACTCTGAACAAATACTGATTTTTACACCCCTGCATCATTGTTTAAAATACAATCAAGAAAAAGCAAGCAATAAATAAATACTTGTTCAATTTCATAAATTATTCAAAAAAAAGAGGCAGTTTAAACTATAGCACTACAGTAGTTGATAAAAAGACAAATGTCCAGAAACTGCCAAGGAGGCCCACAATTATGACTAACAATTTCTGTTTTTGCATTGTTTTTTATATCTACATTTTTTAGGTTTTTACTGATGGTCCCCTATTTGACTTGGCCTCTGCTGCAACCTTCCTTTGAAAATCTTGGATTTGTTGCTAATTTTTTCTTTCTTCCGAATTATCAACATTAAAACAGGTAATTAATTGGTAGTTCCACATTAATGCATTATTCTCTGAAGAACCAGGGAGGTATATATAAACCATTATGTGTTTGTTTGGTCAGGTTAAAGAAAACAATAATATAAAATTGGGATACATCATTTCAGTTTTACTCTACAATGTACTTCTCACTGTTACCCTGCCTTGCATGTAACTAGTACCAGTGCTACCTTACCTGAAAAGGGGAGGTAACTGGAATCAAAACTTAATTTTGGAGTCAATAAGGATTCTAGAAAATGCTTATAATGTATAAAATGATTTTGAGGTGGACAATTACAATACTGGGATAGTTTTTATTAGCAGCACTTAAGAAGTATACCCATTTTATAAATAAATAAACAAATTAAGAAAAGTATACCCTTTTTACAAATGTTTGAAAAATACAATTAAAATTGGAAAAATTGAAATGATGCCCTGTGATTTGTGAATGAGATTTCTTTCCTGAGATTCATATTCAATAAAATATTACATAAATTGTAAAAATAAAGTGTGATTATATGGCACAAGTTAAGTTACATGTTAAAATGGTAATCACAAAACTGCACGTACAACAATAAATATGTAAAATATGTATTTTCACAAACTAGGACCGAAACATGTTAACACAGTGAGAGAAAAAAAAACAGAATTATTTAGATTTAAAGTCTTTAATAATTGATTGATCTAGAATTTTAGTTTATAATACTGCAACATTTTTTTCGTAATTTCAGAAAAATTTAATAATAATAATAATATCAATTAAGATGACATACTTGGTTTACTTTAACTGGCAAAACAATATATAAATAAATCATTAACATGTATGTCCTGTCTAAAAATGCTTTGTCAAAAAGCTGCGTTGAATACAACAAGAATTTAATCCTATAATATATATGCAAATTACAATTAACAGTCAGGGGACTTACTCAAATGAGTGATTTTCTAAATCACTGATTCAAGTAACATTATGTCCATAAAGGATGGAAGTAAGAGTTGTCTTTCTTTAATAATCACCTATTTAAGTAGTACAAATTAATCTTTAGAAGAAGTCATTTAATTTTATTGTAGCTTTAAATATAAAATACTAATGATCCAGGGACTAATTATGTTGCTAAAATTATCAGAACCAACATCTGTGTTGATAGGATGACCAGGTCATTTCAGGTGATGACCTTGTACTGAATCTAGGATAATGACATAAAAATCACTTGTTTAAGTATCATACCTCAATTTCCTTCCCAAAAATCACTTCTTTAAGTATCATTATTTTAATAACCCCCACTAATTTCAACACCCCCAAACAGTGAAATTTTGATCGCGAACAGTAGAATTTTATTACATAATCTGAAAGATGAAACCTTGAACTTTACAGGAAAAATACTCCCACTGTTGGGAAAAATCTGTGAAGAAAGTATCAGTTCATTATGTACAGCCATTATTATAGCATTTTTTCAACTAAAATAGAATTTGCAGCTAAATGATAGCATCAAAGGGATAAACCTTGCTACTTTCAAGATGCAAAAATTTCATTTTTTTCAAGTTTACTAATGAAAAGATATTATCTAAACCTATGTGTTTAAAATTTTGGTAAAACTACAAAATCACAATTTGTGAAAAAACTTTGAATTTGCTACTCAAATAAGTGATTTAAAAATCACTTATTTCAATAAGTCCCCTGACTGATTAAGTGTAAACAAGTTAAAGAAGGTAGGTCTTTGTTGAATTCAATTTCACTGAAAACAGGAAAAAAAAGATCTGTTGTTAAATTTTTTTCACTCATTACTTTTCGTTTGAACAGATATATGCAAGAACAAAGTGTGTGCTTGTATATTTTGGTCCACAAATACAACCTAAACATCACAAAAAAGTAATAAAAATAACAAACAAAACAAAATACACTAACTGCAACAATAAGAAGAAAAATGTAATTAGCACTAACCTATAAGAAAAATATACACAGTATATCAATGACAAAATAGGGAAAATTTAGCAATCAAACTGTTTTTTTTTTTGTTGGAAATACATGTATACAACAAAAAAAAATTTCCAAATCTGCTTGTCAGTTGTCACTCTATTACAATGAACATTTCTTGATTTTCCCCTTGAGGTTGTTGTTGATGAGGTATTTTGGATGAACTGTCGCTCAAATTGCCGTTCATATTGCTGCCACTTGGTTGCGGATCGTCTGCTGAATGTCGCTGCAGGTGTTCTACAAGGAAAATGGCCTGATTAAACTCCTTCCCACACTTTTCACAGTAGTAGGGTTTCAAACCTCGGTGGCTTCTTGTGTGTTTTTGTAAGTCCCGGAGCTCCTTGAATTGTTCCAGGCATAAAGTACATTGATACGGTTTATCAACTTTGTGAATGGTGATATGGTCTTCAAAGCTATCTTTGGTCTTGTACTCACCACCACAAATGCCACATTTGTAATTGTCTTTCTCCTTGACCTTTTGTTCTTCGACGACAGAGGTCATACTACTTTCATCGTCATCCATGACATCATCTTCTGTCGCGGAGGTCGATTGTTTCTCCATGTGAAACCGGTTCAACTTTTCATCAGCTCTCCTTTGTTGCTCTTTATAAGCTCTTAATTCTCTATCATAAGCAGCCAACATCTCCTGCTCCGCAGAACTAAATACATTTTGGTCAGTGTCCTGTTTCAACTGTTTCTTCATTTTCCTCCACGGTAGCAATTGATCATCTAAGAATTCTGGTCCCCTTTGGTTGTAGCTTTGATCCCTTGCGTGTGCCATCATGTGTGAAAAATATGAATCAGTATTAGGGAATGCCACTGAACAGAGTCCACAGTTGTAGGTGACTTTATTGTCCTGAGTATGATTCAATTTCTGAGTTGTTGAACTTTCTTTTCTCTTCATTTCAAGTTTTGAAAACATGTTTAATTTCAATGCTTCATTTGTCTTTGTCTCGCCTCCTCTGTCAGGTGACAAACTGCCTCCTCTACCAGATTGTGAGTAATCAATAGCTTGGTGTTTAGGTCTGGGAGGTTCCATCGGTAAATCTCTTATTGCTGATCCTATTTCCTTTTTCAAGTTTTCTATTTGTGAGTTATTCAGTGCATATATCTCTTTCTTAAGAATGTCCATTTGTGAAGTATTGCTTTCAAGATCCCTCATATGAACATCCCTTTGTGAATTATGAACTGAACCATTTTCTTTTTTAGGAACTCTCATTCTAAAATCAGTTGTTTCCTCAATTTCCTTTTTTGTAGCGATATTTGTAAGATGTATTTTCATGTGTTTCGAAAGATTTCCTCTGTCTCTAATAGCTCTGCCGCATATTTCACATTTGTATAATTTCACGCCTGAATGAATTGTTAGATGGGTCTGAAGCGTGCCATTTCTGCTGAAACTTTTGCCACAGATGCCACAGCGATGTGGCTTGTCACCCGTATGTGTTCTGATATGTGTTCGAAGGTTAGCTTGATTGCTTATTTTCTTGTGACAAATGGGGCATTCATAAGGCTTCAATTCATCAGGAGTTTGGAATGGTCCAACTTTCCGAATTTTCATCTTCAAGGAAGTATCACTTTCACTTGTGGCCTGGTATGGTTCTGTTTTATAAAAATTTGATTGGTTTGATGGCTGATGAGGATCATCTTCTTGACTTTTTTGTGTCAAAGTTCTTGTGATGTTTTCTATGCAGGCATCAAGCTTACTGGGTCTTACTCCTTTTGTTACACTGTCCATTCTCTCTGACTGGACAATGCTGTCCAGGATTGAATGGCTACTTCACAACATCATTTGACATCTGAAAAAATATGCACAAATAAAATCAATAATCTACACAAATATTTACAAAGGTCAGTCACTATAAATTATGAAATCACTCGCGGTACGAAATAAGTTCTGAATGGTCTCTGAGGATGTCGTCTGCTTTACATTAAATCATCATGAATTTATTACAGTCAGGGATATAACTCTATAGGGTTATTACAGAAAATAACTTGCATGTGTTATTACAGATACTTTCATGAGTTGTCTACTCTTTATTCCTTAAATTTTATAAATCTGTAATAACATATGTTTGTTATTTGTAATGTTTGTAAAATAAATCAAAAATATTTTAATCTACAGTGGGCTCTAGGGAACTCTTGAGACTTTGCGCAGAAACTAAATGCATAGCCTTGATAACTAATTTTTTAATTAAATTAATACATTTTTGATTAACCATGGTAAATCAATGAGACAAGGCTTTTAAGGGATAAACTTAGCTGTAATAACAAGGCTTAGTTATTAAAGGAATGTAACTTATTATATGAGACACTTGGGAATTACTGGGAAGCTTGCGCAGAACCTCATTACATGCTCTGGTCATTATTTCTTACAATTAACTAAAATACATTGTAATTAAGCATGATGTATGTCTGAGCAAATGCTTTGGAGTAGCTGTGATAACACCCTTTAGTTATTAAAGGGATATTTTTTCTGTAATAACATAGGTGTACTATGCATAATTGGCAAACTATGAACGGTTATATCTTTCTATAGTTAAGTATACATAAAGACAATAGTAATATCAATAGAACTTGTATACATTTTAACTAAACTAATGATGTATATTGTCCCTTTGAAACATGTAACATACATATGTTATCACAGTTCTTTGATTTTTTAGTCCACAATAACAAATGTATGTTATTTTTCTGTAATAACCCTATAGAGTTATATTCCTGACTGTATTATAATTGTCCTAATCCTTTTATGTATTGTAATTAATGTGTTTTAAATCTAAAGATTCATTAAATCTCGGCTTGGGTCATTTAAATTCGTTTCGTTTTTATCTCGGGTGAAAAATGTTCAACACACTAACATTCCGCTTGAACGATCAACAAAGGTGTTAATTATCGGTCACCATAAACATGTCATTTTAACTGTTATACAAACAAGTATGTTTACTCAGCTTTAATCTCTTTTGAAAATGATTAGGCTTAATAAGAAATACATCCGATTTGAATTTTTATCATTAGGTCTGCATCTTTCAAAAATTCTTACTTTCGAACTTCGAGATATCGGGGTCAATTTACATTAATTTTACTTCGACGGGACTATAAAATTTACTCGACTTAACTGAGTATTCGAATCAACCGAGTTCGACTCATCAGAGGTAATTATGCATTGATCAAACGGGAATTTTACCAGGACCAAGAAATTACTTCGACTCATCCGAGTTTTCGACACAACCCAGTTCGACACAACGAGGTTCGACTGTACCACAATTTAAAATTTGTACTAGGTGACCTCCCCCTTTCCATGTAAATTCAAAAAGTAGGCTTATTTGAAAGGTGAACTTTTTGATCAGCATTCTTGATAACAAAGAGAAGGCCAAAAAAGAAAATATGGCTGTTTTCTGCCTCTGGACTTACATGTACCCTATGCTTGATTCCAAATCCTAAACATTTTATTGCCTTATTAACAAAAATGATTAAAAAAATATTAACCTGATAGAGCAAATAGCCTTTTGTCGCTAACATTAGACCATGTTAGGCTATAGATCCCATTTCAGCTGACTTATTTAGGAAGCACTGTAATAAAACTGACCAAAATAAAGATGAAAAGTTGTCATTAATTAAGGCAACAGTAGTTTCTGATGTTCAAATCTTGGAAATCAATTAGGAAGAGACCAAAACAGGTAACACAAAAAAAAAAAGAATCGCATGAACTCTTAAAGGAGTGAGATGGGTGCGTCAACAGGGTTAGCATTCTCCTGCTATGAATGCATCATCCGCCATGGGAATTCACACTCAGTCAATGTCACAATCGGAAACTTTGGAAATTGCAAAACTTCTATCTTGCATGCCCTAGGCTATAATTACCAAATGTGTAGTGTAAATTAAAACATGTAGGATGGGATTTAAAGAAAAAGGTGGTTTTTTACACATTTTGTCTATTAAAGAAAAAAAACATGTCTTTAAAAAAATTCTATTAAATGAAATACTTTACAATGTACTGAATATTGTGTCATTTGCCAACTATAGAAACTCATATACATGTACAGTAGACTCCGGCAAATCGGATACCCAAAATGTCAGCCAAAATATTCCATTATCCGATATATTCAATTAGACGATAAATGTATATTCATTGAATATTCTGCAATAATGATTAGACCTAATCCTGAGATGTTACTAGCCCTGACCACTGCTATATATTATAAAGGGCTGGAGTGATTTTTATCAATTACATCACCACAATGTTTGTGTAAAAAATTATCAGCTGGTTATGTAATGCTTATATTTGTTTTTCAGTTTCTAAATCCTATATTTATTAAAATAAATAAAATGTCCTGAAATATTTATATGTGAATAACTGTCTACTATCCATAGTTTGTGTCTTTATTTGTTTTGTAAACGAATTAATATCCATTATTTACATTTATCACAGGTAAGCTAATTGGGCTATAAATAGATCAAAGTATGGTCTGTGTACACTGCAGTTTCTAAACTAAAATTGTGTTTGTTATATATTTTATTTCTTTAAGTAATCAAATTTAAATTTATGAAGATATATAATCATGATTGATAAAATATTATTGTATCTTGAGTTTAAGTTTTCTGAAGACTATTTATGTTTAGGTCATGGTTCTCGAGGCTTCTTCACATATTGTTAACAAAACAAACTGGCATCCATGACATGTGGTCATGCAAATGTTACAAAATTATATCTGACACAAGTCAGATTTCTCTTGTCAAAAGGGATTTATATGTACGGTATATTGCAATAAATTATTCAGAAGAAATAGTTCCTTTTTATTCAGTAAAAACTAAATCTTCTTGTCTGCAAGATTGTAATTTCGTAACTTCCTATCAGAAAAACATTGAAAATATCCGATTGTGCATAGTTCTGAACAAAATTTCCTGAATATTCTTATCCTATTTGCCGATATATTCGATTACACTATTGAATTAACATTAAACATACCGGGAAGGGTTTGGTGTTTTGAAAAAATACTACAATAGCCAATATATTCGTTTAGCCAATATCTGATTAGATGGAGTCTACTGTATAAGATACTCAAATCGAATTCCTAAAATTAAATTGTACTTATTGAGCAAAAATGATATTATACACTGTATCACTCAATTAAAGTATTTATTATTTATAAAAGCAGTATGTTTATCATATGAAATAGAATTTTTAGGTAATATCTAGATAGATTCTTGGGTTTGTATTAAGTTTTTTGGAAATCAGGATACCCGCCAACTTTTCAAAATCTCCATGCAGGATTTTAAGAATAAGAGGACATAATTCATACCTATACACGTCATAAGTGTACTTGGCAGGTCTGGACGCTCACTACCGCCTACTTGGCAAGAAAAAATGGATGTAAACAAAGTGCATATGACAGCCAAAATGCAACAAATAATCATCAAAAAATAATATGCTAAGAACAACACTTTTAATCAGTATGGACAATATCGATGTTAGAAATGTTAAATTTTGCAGTGGTGTGTGATCGGAAGTGGCGTAAAGTACCTGTTATGTCAAATGACAGGCAATATTTTCACTTACAAGTCCAGGATTGTAAGGTGTTTACCGTTACTTAACAGGAATATATCGGTATGTAAATGGACAATTGTAGACAGTAATATTACACATAAATATATTAAATAAGAATGTTGACTCTTTGAGACGCTTTAAAAGCTGTTAAAACATCAAGATGCTTGTACATGTACATGTAAATTTGGACCAGGTCACGGCAAGTGCTCATCTGTGAACTTTACATTATGTATAAAAACAGGTTCGTACTATGGTGAGTATGCAATATATTCATCATGCATTAATGTTTCAAATACTAGCAGTATTTTTAAGCTATCTTAGAATACTAACATTACACATTTCAATTTTTGCAGCGAAAGTTTTTTGTTCTGAACAAAGGATGTTCGATGTTGGTTATAATCACAAAACGATTCCGAACTTGCGGTTTCACCGATACCAATCTTATGCAAAATATGTGCTTACATGAATGAGGCCTATATTATAATTATAAAATATTATATATTTTATTTCTTTAAGTAATCAAATTTAAATTTATGAAGATATATAATCATGATTGATAAAATATTATTGTATCTTGAGTTTAAGTTTTCTGAAGACTATTTATGTTTAGGTCATGGTTCTCGAGGCTTCTTCACATTTTGTTAACAAAACAAACTGGCATCCATGACATGTGGTCATGCAAATGTTACAAAATTATATCTGACACAAGTCAGATTTCTCTTGTCAAAAGGGATTTATATGTACGGTATACTGCAATAAATTATTCAGAAGAAATAGTTCCTTTTTATTCAGTAAAAACTAAATCTTCTTGTCTGCAAGATTGTAATTTCGTAACTTCCTATCAGAAAAACATTGAAAATATCCGATTGTGCATAGTTCTGAACAAAATTTCCTGAATATTCTTATCCTATTTGCCGATATATTCGATTACACTATTGAATTAACATTAAACATACCGGGAAGGGTTTGGTGTTTTGAAAAAATACTACAATAGCCAATATATTCGTTTAGCCGATATCTGATTAGATGGAGTCTACTGTATAAGATACTCAAATCGAATTCCTAAAATTAAATTGTACTTATTGAGCAAAAATGATATTATACACTGTATCACTCAATTAAAGTATTTATTATTTATAAAAGCAGTATGTTTATCATATGAAATAGAATTTTTGGGTAGAATCTAGATAGATTCTTGGGTTTGTATTAAGTTTTTTGGAAATCAGGATACCCGCCAACTTTTCAAAATCTCCATGCAGGATTTTAAGAATAAGAGGACATAATTCATACCTATACACGTCATAAGTGTACTTGGCAGGTCTGGACGCTCACTACCGCCTACTTGGCAAAATTGAAAAAAATGGATGTAAACAAAGTGCATGTGACAGCCAAAATGCAACAAATAATCATCAAAAAATATTATGCTAAGAACAACACTTTTAATCAGTATGGAATATATTGATGTTAGAAATGTTAAATTTTGCAGTGGTGTGTGATCGGAAGTGGCGTAAAGCACCTGTAATGTATAATGACAGGCAATATTTTCACTTACAAGTCCAGGATTGTAAGGTGTTTACCGTTACTTAACAGGAACATATCGGTTTGTAAATGGACAATTGTAGACAGTAATATTACACATAAACATATAAAATAAGTATTTTGACTCTTTGAAACGCTTTAAAAGCTGTTAAAACATCAAGAAGCTTGTACATGTACATGTAAATTTGGACCAGGTCACGGCAAGTGCTCATCTGTGCACTTTACATTATGTCTAAAAACAGGTTCGTAGTATGGTGGGTATGCAATATATTCATCATGAATTAATGTATCAAATACTAGCAGTATTTTTTAGCTATCTTAGAATACTAACATTACACATTTCAATTTTTGGAGCGAAAGTTTTTTGTTCTGAACAAAGGATGTTCGATGTTGGTTATAATCTCAAAACGATTCCGAACTTCCGGTTTCACCGATACAATATTATGCAAAATATGTGCTAACATGAATGCGACCCATATTATAATAATAAAATATTATCATCATTGTTTTATGTAGGATTATAATGTTATATGGCCTTTCATAGGAAAATATAGTATGTAAAAAAACTGCTACATGGATGTGCAACTAATAGTGGTTTGATTCCGCCAGTGTACTTTATCCGGAGGAAGAATATCCCCAGTGATTTTTATCCACCAACAAAAAATCACTAGGGTTTTCTATCCGGGTCCAGTGTAAAACATCCACCAGTCATTATAAGGTTCTAAAAAGGTTTTTTTTTAAGGGGAAGTATATATAAAATGTGGCTTAATTAATAGTTTTTAGTGAATTTGAAAATTGCATAGTTGATTTATGTAAAAAGTGGAGAGTTTTCATCCAAGGAATGTTCACACTAGTGTTTTTGAACCAGGAATGATTACACTAGTGATTTTGTACCGGAATGATTGCACTAGTTATTTTATACCCGGCGGGATTAATTACACTAGTGCTTTAGATCCATTCATTGATGAAGTGATTAGTACTCATTTTGAACACACGATAACACAATAATGCTTATCAACAAATGAGATTTAAATAATTTTTCTATGCAAATCTATAAAATCATATGCTTTTAAATTGTCACTAATTGTAATATTTATATTTATTGGATTGCCGAAGTTTTTATATGTATTTGCTTTTCGGTCGACTTGGATATTAAATCATATCTTCTATGTCAATATCAAAGGATGCTTCTGTAATTGAAACTTTATGTGAGAACAAATCTGCTCTTTATATTTGGTTTGTATCAAGCTCAATGTCCTGATCATTGATAAAGTATTTTGAGTTATACTGAAAATATCCTCATCATCATCAATATTATTTACTAGATTGACTCAGATTAATTAAACTGGTTCCTTGAAAATCATTTTAATTCTAACCCATTTATTGTATGTAAACAATAAACCGGTCTAATATAAACAAAACAACGATATCAAGATCGACGCTTTCACACTATTTACATCCAATATTCTCTAGTGAAAAACAGTTACTCGGAATAAATACACGGCGGAATGAAAGAACGCTTACAGTTGTAACTACTTTCCCGGAAAATTAAAGGATCACAGTCCTTATTTTATTAAGAGGGTATCACAGCGTTAGCAACAATATTCCTTATCCTCCCTCACCTAAGGAACAGAGTAAATAATTTGAAACCATCAACTCTTATATAAATAAAATTATCCCATTTCCAACAGGTTATATGCGACTCAGACGGCGTATCATCATAGAGGACATGAATAAAACTGACGCTAAATGTATACGGGCGAATTAAGGCAGGGCGTCGTGAGTCCCTAAAATCAAATTGTTTGCACAAAACAAGTAAAAATATCCGCGTCGCACCGGGCGGCGAAAACACAGGATCGATACGCCCATCATTTTCCATTGTTACATGTGTATGTCAGGGTCTAAGATATATAAAAAATATGAAATCTATTTTAATTTTGGATCCTAATTACTATGGCGTATATGCAAGACATGAGGTATGCAGGACCATTTCTTTTCTTACAGCATATTCATTTTCGCCTTTTGCAACTTGAAGACTCGCTTAAATAATATTTTTGTACTCATGCAGTTATTTCCAGCAAATGACAAGGAAAAGTCACAGGCTAATTCTTCCAATAAATTTCATATCTATATTACATTTAGGATGTCCTCATATCATATTTCATATTAAATATCTTGTACAATATGTTACTCCATAAAAAAATAAAACTTATTGGGTTTCAACAAGTATATGTTTATATACAACAAGTGCAAGTGCAAAATGAATGTTTAGACTGAATTTCTATGACATCTGTACGCGTATTCATTGTGTTTTTGTTGCTGCTGGAACAGACCAAACCGGCAGTATGTAAGGCAAATTCAGCATACACTGATAAGATGGATTCTATGATGTTTCAGGTTATCTGGGCTGGACTGAAAAGTTTGAAACAAGAGCCCAACAATCATGACAATAAAGGTAGGTCGACTGTATTATTTCTAGGGAAATGGGAAAACAAGGGATATGTAATTTTGTAGGATATGGAGGATAGACGTGCATGCATGCGGCAAAAATGTAATAAAAAAAAATTAAATAACTATATACAACGGCTTTGAGGATGCCACTGCAAATTGTGGTTGTACTTTTCGTCGCTTAATGGACACGTCCTTTATTATTTCAAACAGTTTTCTATCCAAACTCAGCTTTAGTCAGACGTGATTAATTTCACAACCTTCAATCAACTATATAGATATAAACAACCTATTCAGATGTACATGTACCGTGAAATGAAAGGTCTATCGGGTGAAAATGTAGTAATATTGACATTTTGTCAGTCAATTAACTTTCAACGGTAATATTTAACGTGGTGCTTTTAAGAAAGAACGCCTTTTATAATTGTGAATCTTGAAGGCTGCTGTCATTTCTTCGAGTTTTATGGACATCATCATGATTTGGTTAACAGTTACGGAACATCTGTATCACAGATGAAAACAGACATATGTTGAACTTGTCGTAGCCCGACCTCTTTTCCATATTTGTGACATCAACGACTGCAACTTTATCAACAAATTGTCCTTGAAACAAGCTCCACGATAGGTGTCAATAGCGAAGCGAGAACTGCATTACTTCTTCAGCACCTGCGTTCACTCTCTGATTTTAGTGGATTAAGTTGTTCAATTTTCACTTTTTTGTGTAGTTGTTTATTTACCCTCGGCGAGTAATGAGTATCTGCACTGTAAACAATGACGTTTAGATACAATTTATAAACCCAATCCTAAACACATCTTTGTCCCACTTTTTGAATATGTTGAAACACCAAAAGTATATTAACGCGTTAGTTTTTTTTTAAATAACGTGCTTTGGTATTTAGGCGCTTAAATTTTTTGGTGCTTATGAAATTTACGCGCTTACTAGGTACATTTTGTTTTGATTTTAAGCGTCCATTTAAATACTCCATTTGGAGTCTGTTTAAAATCTAAACATGATAATGATCAAAAACACGTTTAGGATGCAATCCGTATAGAATTTAAACACAATCCTAAACATGTTTAGACCTCAACATGCAACACTGACGTTTAAATTCTAAGCATCATTTTTACATTGTGGACTAGGTTTGTGACCATCTTTCCTCGAATTATAGTTTTGAATTGCCTTTTCGGTTGTGTCTCTATCTTTTTTCGGAAAGAAGATTTTTGTTTGATTTGATAAGACTATTTTCCTCGAACAGACATATTATATGAATTATTGCAATATTTTATCACTATGCATTAGGTTTGAGTTTTATAAATTCATTATTTTGGTAAAAAAAACCACAATGGAACTAATTCACGAGTATAACATTCTAATATGCTTAAACATATTCTCATGAATTTCCTTGATTACAGAAAACGTTACTAGCGGTGCAAGTTATATACAATGGGGTAGATCAACGTGTACTAGTAGAAATTCGAAGCTCGTTTACGACGGTATGTTAATTCTGATCAAAATAAGATGTGGTAGGATTGCCAATGAGACATCTCTCAGACCAAATGACGTGCATGTAGAGGTTAGCAACTGTAGGTCACCGTACGGCCTCCAACAATGATCAAAACCCATACCGCATAGCAAGCTATATATATAAAAGGCCCCGAAATGACAAATTGTAAAACAATTCAAACGAAAAACCATAACGGACTGATTTATGTACAAAACATTAAACGAAAAACAAATATGACACACAGCAACACACGACAATCACTGAATATTAGCTCTCAACAGACTTATGGCTGATTGCTTTTCCTACAATGTGTTCATAAATTTTACTGAAATACTGAAATACATATACAGAAAATAGAAAAGCTCAACAAGTTGGCTTTTCTTGTATACGTATATTTTTTAACTGTTACTTTTATATATCTTTTATAAGACTAGTATATACAGCAACGATAGGAATTATCAAAAAGTATTTGTACACCGCAGTAAACTGAATTACAGATCAACAATTATATGTAACTTAAAAAAAAAAAAAAAAAAAAAAAAAAAAAAAAAAAACACTCCGTGAAAGAGGTAAACGAAAGCAAAAAAAAAAACCAACAAAAAAAAAAAAAATAAAACAGAAAAAAAATAAAAACTTTGTGGACGAACTTTTACGTCATTTGGTCTCTGGTGGTGATTTGTATCATTGGCAATCATACAATATCGTTTTATTTTTATATCTATTAAATATATTTTTTTTCTGTACAAATTGATTTTCATTTATTTCACCGAAAAGCTTATGAAGTAAATGCATTTTTTCTTTTGTATCCAATTATCAGTTTTAATAATTACTACAGGATACACGGGCGGATCTTCATACGCAAAACCAGGAGCGGCAGCTAACCACCTTTGCCTACCCAAACAGCCACAATGGGGAGTTTACGATGAGAAAGTTAACAAAAATCCTTTTGTCGGGGCAGCCGTATTCAACATCTACGATATTGACATAAAAAACTCCCTTTTTGACAAAAGCAAATATGACTTGTACAGTTTTCCATGTGCTGTCTGTCATACCAAGATTGGGTCATCAACACTTATGATACCTGGCCGTAAAGATTGCATTGGAGATTGGAATAAAGAATATACTGGGTACCTAATGTCTGGCTGGCCTGACCATAAGGCTGCAACAGAGTATTTATGTGTCGATGCCGATTCTGAGCGATTGAAGAAAGCGTCCAGTTGGGGCAACAAGCCTATTTTATTCGCAGTTGCAGCCAAATGTAATGGAGTACTTCCGTGTCCTCCATATGTTGATGGCCGGGAAATGACATGTGTCGTATGCTCAAAATAAAAACATAATTGAATATTCAAAATAAATAGTATATTTTCATTTGTTGTCGAATTTTTTCCAATAGTATTATGATTAAATCTAAAAAAGGTATTATGCTACAATGAACGAAAGAGGTGTGAGTTAACATCAATGGGACAGCAACAATCATTATGCATGGCTGTACCCTTTTCCTGTATCATTTTCATTTCAATCGAACAAAGGATCCTCAAGCTATTATCCATAAGCCATTCTTTTCGGACATACAGACGTACGGACAAAAACTGAAAGCGATTCATAATGCTCCCGAGTTTTATTTCGGGGAGCATAACAATGAAATCAAAAAAAAAAAAAATATGCAAATAAAATTAAAGACAATTTTCGCTCCCCTATACAAATAAATAAACAAACAAACAAACATAAAAAAACCAGCTACCAAACAAAAAAAAAAAACAAAAAAAATACAAATACAAAAGAAAGAAAAAGAAAGAAATGCAAAACACAAAGAAGGAAAGCCTTGTTTCACGTTATATTTTTTAAAGATCAACAAAAAATGAAAGCACATTTATTTCTTTCGTTAAATCGCTTATTCTTTGCAATCAAATACAAGTACCTCTAGTCTTTTAAGAAATTGACTGAGCTGATTGCAAATCTTTGAAAGTGTCTATTGAACTTATTTAAAACGTGTCTAGTCTCAGGACGATTTAGCCTTCCTGTCTGGTTTTATTGTGGTTTTCGGTTGCTGTCTGAATGACATACACTGAGCATTTCATTGTTAGTTTATCATTTAAACACGAAAAGTGTTAAACCAAGATAACTCCAGATTTCTACATACATGTAGTCAATACAAAATACAAAAAGAGGTATAAGCACTGTGCGGGACAAATTTGCCATTCCAGAATTGGCAAATCTGACTTTGTTGTTTTACAAGATACCAAAAATATTTTTTGGCCAAGTGATAGATAATTTAAAAAAATTTTCCCCATATGTCCCAAAATGTCACTGTCGTCACTACAGCTGATGCTGATTAAAAGTACATTTCCCATGGGAATATTAGAAGATCCCATGGGAAAATTTTAAGTTCCCATCGGAAAAAGTACTTTTCCCATGGGAACATTAGTTAATAGTTTGTTCCCATGGGAAATTCTAAATTTCCAAAGGGAACTCATTTTCTTCCATTGGAGCATCTTCTTATCATTGGAACATTTCTTCTTCCCATGGGAACATTTCTTCTTCCCATGGGAACATTTTTTCTTCCCATGGGAACATTTATTTTTCCTTTATTATTTTTCGGACATTGTAAAAGAGCTATGAGATATCGTAACGAACTGACGGGTACTAGTAACCTGGAGCATTTTATATCATTTCCATTTGATAACAAAAAAAAGTAATTACACTAAATTAAAGGTATTTCTATCATACTTCTACATTCACAAGTCTTCTATTGTCATTGAATGATTGAAAGAAACATATTGATTGTATTGTATCGTCGTTTATTTATTGGTTACTACTTAACGTCCAGCGGCTGATTTTACAATTTAAATCTTTCACTTTTGCTTTCGATTAATATCATCCTGCATTTCATGTAATATTGTTCGCTGAACTGACAACGTTCAGAGCCATGCCTGTGTATTTCGGAATTTAATTTATAGATAAAAATTAATAAATCTGTTTGAATCTATATACATGGGAAATCACGAATCGTGTTTAAGGTCGTTTTCTAGCTATAATCCTTGAATTTACGAAATTGACATTATAATTATTACTAATATACTAGTCAACAAAAGAAACGATACAAAGTTAATTTTGTCAATATTTTTATATTTTTCAATTTAAAGTTTCTGTATAAGTTTATTTCTGTATTCAACGCCAAAAAGCATCTGTTAATTCTTTTTTTTCCAAAAAAATCCGAAACGGATACGATGAAAATCCTGAATGTTACTTTTTCGTCCGGTAATCGAGTTCGCCGTGAATCAATGAAGCATTTACATTGTTTGAAGTCAATAATTGGGCTACTACATCAGGTAAACAATTTTCCATCTTAAAAAATGGAAAACAAATCCAGAATTTGATGCCACGCTTACTCCAAAACGAAAGTGAACAAGATGTTTGCATGGTCAGAGCTGGGATGACGCACGCTGACGTCGCAAATCATTTTCATGTGGCAAGAATAACAATATCAAGACTGATGATTCGTCTAAAGCAAACTGGCTCAACAAATGATAGACAACGTAGCGGCAGACCCCATGAGACGTCGCAACGTCAAGATCGCGCGATACGTCTTTTACACTTGCGCAACCGTACATTTAATGCGGAAAATACGACACGATGAATACCTGGTCGTCACAACAACAGAATATCGGGTCAGACAGTTCGTCGAAGACTCAGAGCGCATGGACTGCGTCCAAGACGTATCCTGAAAGGGCCGCTCTTTAACAGCGTCATAGGGCTGCAAGACTTGAATGGACTCGTGCAAGACGACGTTAGAGGTTACAACACACCTGGCAGCATATGTGTTTACAGATGAGTCCCGGTTTGCTCTCCGTTTTAGTGATGGACGCATGAGAGTATACCGTTTTTCGGACCCTTGTGTCATGGAAACGGATCGTTTCGGAGGCGGAAGTGTGATGGTATGGGGTGGAATATGTCACAACGGACGCACACAGTTAAAAACCGTTGATGGTAACTTGAACGCTTTGAGATTGGGATGAAATTATTGGCCCAATTGTGCCTTTTATTCGACAACGCGGTTTCAACTATGTTTTCCAACAGGATAACACTAGATGTCACGTGGCAAGGATTTGTATGGAATATCTTGAACAAAACCAGATTCGCGTTCTCCCGTTATATTTTGTTACTGTGTCACGTAGAACGTTAAGAAATACATATCTTATCTATTTGTTATTGTTTTCTACTAAACGGTGAAATATTATTTTTGATTAAAGTGTTGTATCGTTTCTTTTATTGACTAGTATACTTATTCTTTTTCGTCTACGTAACTCGATATGCGTGTTTTCGCCACTAGAAAGATGTGCACTGATCTTTTTTAAAATTTTATTTCATTTATTCGGTCAAATTTCCTAATTCAATTTGTTACTCGTCTACAAAAAAATCTTTTATTTTGTTTCATTTTTCGCAAATACCTTTGAAAGTCTTGTTAGATTTGTATTTTATGATCTCTCAGGTAAATATCAAAAAGAATCCAGAGTTTTGCATTTACAAGTACGGATGAGGATTAAATACTTTATGGAAAACTTATTTCCCTAAATGGTATTATATACACTTGTATTTTACCCTTAGGCTGTCTTCATGTAATTTAAAAGTTTAACGGAGCATTGTCGTCTTTTGCAGCTAGATCAAAGACTTAAATGATTTTTTTCTGCAATTACATACAGGTAAAAAGAGCTATTTGATTTTTTAATATAAAATAATTGCTCGTGATTTTTTGTACGAATATAGAACAATTCGAAATTGTTCCAATTTGCCAAATTTTTCTCCAATCAGCTAGCCTATTCGACAAACCTGTTTGCGATGATGTGTGAATACTGGCAATGACATTGTAATAGTTTGTACGACTTTGCCCCCAGCAGAGCTATAGAAAAACAGTACAAGTTTCGATTAGTGTATGGAAAGGTATATACTATGAAATTTAGAGCGAGGGGCTTGCCCCGAACTCTTAATTTCATAGTATATACCTTTCCATACACTATCCAATTTAGCACATATTTACAACTTGAGTAATCCTGTAATTAGTCTATTGATATGTTTTGGCTCACTAGGTGTAGCTCATTTACGTAGTTTTGTAAATCTACTCACTATAGTATCATTGTAAAATATGTGATTTCAAAAGGCCCTGTACTCCAGAATGAAAAAATGGTAGCTGCTGGTGTAAGTATGTTTATTGATATAAAGCGGTGTTTTACGACACATGTACTTCTTTACATGGTAAGATGACAAAATAAATTGACCAAAAGCAGGCAGTAATTAAATTGCAGTGGAAGCTTTACATTCTTAAAAACATTTTTCTATTTCACACAAAAACTAAAACTATAATAAATTTTACACATATAGATAGTTTGCAGTAGCGGATCAAACAAGGGGGGAAAAGGGGGTGGTGGTGGAAAACGCCTTTTTCATGATGATCAAATGGTTGAAACCCCTTTTAAAAATAGCTGGATCTGCCCCATAGGTAGTCTAGTGGATAGTTTACATGCATGAAATATTTGTCACTTGACATTAAGCAACCAATAATTAATCAATATATGACGAAATAGATCAAACTGCTTTAATTTCCCTTCACAAGGTTTCATGGTTCACTCTTTTTTGTGTACAAAGTAATTGCATGGAAAATAAATGATTACAATTTTTAGATGGCGTTGTACTCTAATCAAGGTTTAAAGAACCATATTTGTTACTTTTTATTTAAATGAAAGAAACTTTTAATCGTCAAAAACATTTTAAGATTCAAAGATTAATAAGTGGGATGTTTAAAAATCAATTTGAAAACTAATTACAAACTATTTAGTTTAATTTAGAACACAGCATTTATTTCAAAATAGCCAGTAGCAATTTTTGTTTTAATATCTTGATTACGATACAATGAAGTCTAACACTTGTGGTCATTCATGCGTAGTTACTTAGTACAACAAATGTTATGGTTTATTTTGAATTGGGTAGATATCCTTTGATATATTTTAGAATGTACAAAATAGTGAAGTACTGGTTAAAATTGTTATCCACAAGCAACTGTATTCTTAAAAACTGCGACAGGGAACAACTGTATAATTTCTGTAATATTAGAAGCAGTTGGATTTATCAACTACAACAATTATTATTTAACTTAGGTTTAAATGAGATCTGGTATAACCAAGACAATTTGATTATTGATACAAATTTATTATTATTTGTAAAAACAAGGATATATGATCAAGCAAAACAGACTTTGAATGATCAACTGAACGTTTCATCTAAGTGTTATTTATATAAATATATTGTCAATAATGTATGTTTACAGAATTATCTAACCAAACATATGAATTTTAGAGTGTATTTAACTCGCCTTA